TGAGCCCCTCAATATTAAGTTTTACATGAATTCAAATTCAGACCATCAAAGCTAAAATTGAATATGAGAAGAGAATAAGTGGATCCAGTTATTCTAGTGTAGAGTAAGGTTGAAGTAGACAACCAAATCATGGGATGCTTCATTATGAACGCGAAGTTGGTTGTGTAAAAAGTGACTAGGGTTACAGCCGGTCACCTTTTCTTTTAGTTTAGTATCTTTTTGTTCTAATTTGTGAAGTATGGATAGCTGCTTTGATGAGGTCTGTTAGAGTACAGACGAAACTTAGTACAGTTTCATCGGGGTCGCACGAAGGTGAGCAGATAACTTCTTCGCACAATTCAACAGTCTTCCCTATGCGGCAATCCTCATTCGGTTTCAAGGTGGGACCACATCAGGAATTACTTCCAACCAACTTTCCCCTCGAAGTAGAGAGTTATGCCACAATATATCACTAATGAATTCTTCGAAACCAGGTTTTACTTCATATCTTCCAGTTATTCTAATCTGATTATCATAAGCTCTTAAACAGACTCATTTAATTTAGTTGGGTTCCTTTAACCAGATGGTAAAAACAAAACTGCAATATTAATGGCATAACTGACTTCATTTATGCCATATTTTAGAGAGAAATATGACCCATTATCGAGATCTGGATGCTGCAAAATTATGTGCTCCTGTGGTGAGACATGCCGACCTATTCGACAAAGATTGGGGGAACACAAAAATGCTTTTCAAGGAAGCTGGGTCTAACGGTCAGAAGTGTCCGAACACATGGTAGAAACTGGACACGAGATAGAATGGTCTCAAACTAGTAGGTTTGCTGGTTATGGTTCGTCTGCTGTTAAAAGGCTACTGAAATTAATAGATTAGGGAACACGTTTAATGTGAGGAACAGTGGTAGAAAGTTGAGTAGGAACTACTTATGCTTGATTGATAGATTGAAGGAGAGAGAGAGACGCCATCCAAAGGGAGACGACTCAATTTGTCTGCTCAGTGATGGTTATAATTTCAATCACATTCGTCCAACATGTTAAATTTAGCTCATCAACCAAGCCAGACGTCAAGATTACACAGCCCCAGTCATGCCTTTCCTTGGAGGATTAAACGTTAATGACCCTAGGCTGAGAGGTTAGGACAGGTGGTTTATGAACCTGACTCACACACTTACAAGGTTACATCTCATTATCTCAACCATATTTGTTTACGGAGTTCCGCAGCCTCGGTCAAGGCTTTCTCTTGGGCCATTAAACCTTGATGGCCAGAGCCTGGCATTAGCCTTTTTCGGCCACTCTGATTAAAGCCGATATTGCGTATAGACGTTAACGTACACACACACAAACACACACGCACACACACACACACTCGAGCAAAAGTAACAGGACCAATACGAAAGATATTTAGCCAAGCCTTTCTATATCTAGCTATCTATTTTACTTTTATTTTGCTAAATTGAGTCTATATAAGAGGTAAAATAGAGCCGGACAGTCTTCGTGACGTGTTTACATGAGATTTTCACAAGAATAAGTTTCAGCTCTGATGAGGTCCATCAGATGATGGACGAAAGCTCAGCTCGTTTTCACCCGAAACGAGGGAGGATGTCTCGTGGACTGCGTCTACCTGAACATTGTATTAAAGACAGACGGTTGCAGTACAACTGGATTCGACCGCCGTATTCTGGTGAGATTCCCCTACCAATCTCTTCTTGATGTACTTTCTTACGAAATGAAAGTCTCTCCTACAATGCTATCTTATGAGATTCATCGAAACCTAATTTCTATTCATATCTAGATAGGCTTTATTCTAATTTAGCTGGGCCTTAATGGATCATATTGATCTACAACGATTCCAATAACCTGTTTAAATAACCCTTCCAGTTCAATATATTTGACTAATATGGAGCATCTATGCCTGTTCTTTTCCTCATGTTGCCATCCACTTTATAATCTGAACTTCTAGTCACACATTTCTCACTCACTTTTCATCTCTTTGCGAGATAAGTTGTCGGAAGATCCTGATCGGGCAAGTCTATCCTCCTAGGCAAGTTCCATGTTTGGTTTACAAATCTCCTCGCTTACCAATAGCTTCAACCTAACCACGATATCTGAAACGCCCCACCTAGTCAAAGAGGAATCAGAGTCTTTTCTGACAAAATACTATCATTTTTAATCGATTAAGTAATAAAGATATGGTTTACAGACCATCTACACATGCTTAGCATTTCTTGCATTCATCCGTGAAAGTTGTAAAACAAAGTTATTAGAAACAATTATTAAGTTATTTTTAAATTTTAACTATCGTGAATTAGCCAGAAGCTGTGTCTATTTCACAATATTCAAAAACATGCCGCATTTCTTGCTCATTAGAAAAACACAAGTTATCAATAAAGAGATGTGTAGTTATTCTAAAGTTGTCACGTTTTAAAAAGTTTAGATTGGGGCGGAGAAGATTTCGGAGTGAGTTCATATTCTGATGATGCCCGAGACCAGAAGCGGTTCTCTAGCCTTAAAATTATTTAATGTTCGATAGACTTTGAGGTAGCCTCGAGGCCTAATTTCCGCGTATATTCCCTGGGTTCTCTGTCATAGCACGTCCTGAGCCCTATCAGAGAGTTGTATGATCCCCTGCCTTTAAGAGGTGACTAGCCACCTAATTTTATCTTTTGGTCGGACACTGCATTTAAAGTCTGAAGGGAGACGAGAGTTTGGAGGCCCTATTAACTTGTTTAAAAAAGTGACGGCGAATTGTTCCAGATGACACAGACGTCTCCATTAGGAGAAAGAAGAAGCCTTGACTTGCATGCAATTGTGATTCATCAATGGTCCCAGCTTTTAAATGTGATGTGTGCGAAGCTTGATTTGCTTTAAAAGTTACGTCTAGCCTGTGATCTACGGGCATCCATGACCATGTGGAAAAGAAATTCATCACTTGCTTTATATAATTCTCGTCAGGGATGCTGATGAGACCTATTTGGAGTCGAAACCGTAGTCAATCCTAAATAAAATTCCTTTTGGGTGGAAATGTTAAGTGAACTTCGGTGACGTCGTAAGGCCAATTCATTTAAATGTGGTAAAATTTAATAATAAGTCTCCATGGAGAACTTAGTTTTATTAGAAGTGGGTTTACGTGGTTGTTGCAACTTGTTTCTGTTGTCAGGGAGACTTAGTAAGCCGAACCTTGTCCGAGGTCCTCTGTCATAGTAATTATCATAAGTCCCAACATCAGACAGTGGATTTGGTACATTCTCAGATGTTTAGCCGGTACTGCCTGATGTAGAGGACTTTGGACAAAGTGTGTTCTACTAAGTCCCCCTGACAACAATACCAAGTTGCGATAACGAGGTCAACCAACTTCTATAAATCGAAAGGAGACTGCGACCATACCGGGGGCCACACAATCGTGGTCCTCATATCTTAGTTTTATTAGATTTATTCATAGATTTAGATTTATTTGTAGTAATAATATCAAGTCAATATGAATATTATATCATATGGCGTCCTGACAGAGTTTACGTTTAAATCCATTCAATTCTTGGATCCCTATGGTCTAAGTCGAAAGTAGATTGCCTTGGAGTTGTGACTAAATTTGTGCAAATAAATCGTTGAAACACTTCTGATTAAGGTTTTATAAGGAGTGACAGTTGAATCTCATGCATCTTAATGAGTAGAAGGCCTCTCGGTGGAATTGAATTTCAACCAGCCTCACCTCCTAAGAGGTTGTCTTACCGGAGATGTAGCGCTTGGGTCTCATCAGTCCAACTTAATTGGACTCCCCACCATAACCATGAATTAAGAAATAAAACCTTTTGGGCAACAAATCTGTATGAAACTCAATGACATCGAGAGAGCCCTAATCCAGTTCATGGTGGGAAATCAAACTATCACTACTACGCCATTTAAACTACATAAGTTGACTCAGCTTCTGAGCCTACTCGCTCCATATTTAGAAGTAAACAGACGGGATCACTTCTACAAACCAGAGCATGGCCACGTCTACGCAACCAGATAAGTTTGTAGGCGCCAGGACCACGAGATCATCTCAATCTTTTGTTTCGCCTCCAAAATAATGCATTTGGTTCATTGTAGCAGTTCGGGTGTAATTTATCGTTGTTTTGGGTTTTCTTTGAATTTACGCATATTTTGTGAAGGCGATCAGGCAAAAAGACTTTTTATACGATTTCTTTAAATAAGCATGATTTTAGATAAGACTATACTAGATTGTTTATCACAACAAGACTGCCTTGGGCAGCAGAGGAGCTTTTAGGCTTAAAATTAGTCTACAACTCTAAGTTGGAAAATAAAACAACATTTATATGAATGAGGATAAATGACTTGCAGGGCGAGTTCTTATGTTCTTGGTTTCGTCTCTCCAAATCTTTGGAGATCCAGTTATTTTAGATTGTCTACACTTTAGGTGAGGGTCTAGTAAACAGTGAATTTGTTAAAAGACTAAATGTTTGAAAAGTGTACGATCAAAATGTCTTCGGCATACTGTATCCGCTAGCTCGTCTTGTCCTTCATCGGATGGAACCAGCAACAGGACCAGACTTTAGGTAGACAAAACTTGAAAAATTGGTCATGCTAGCGTAAGGAATCGTCATTTTGACACCTGGCCTGAAGACATGAAGATGGGATGGCTTTGCCGCTCGCCTACTCATCCGCAGGAGCAACATTGTAGCTCGTCGTCTGCTCCGCCTCCGTCACCGCCTCCTCCAAAGGGAATAGTTCTTCGCCATATTTTTCTATCTCGTCCAAGAGGAACTTGACATCTTCGCACACGCTTGCCGGATTGGAAACAATCATTCGAAAGAAGTTGGGCAAGAGTTCTAGCGGCTGATAGGAGACCATGGTGGTTCCCGCCTCCATCATCTTGGCCTTAATCTTTGGCGCCACCTGGATTGGGCAAAATGCATACACAGAGGAAGTCTGTTAAACAAGAGAGGTTTGATCTGCACCAGCCAAAAATGCAAGCAAATCCTGCCAAATCGACATATGCAAGGATGGCGAGGCACAAACTCTAACAGTCTGTGCTATCTGCCCGACGCTGAGGGCAGTGGCAGGTGCCAACGAGAATCTACCTTCCATCCCCAGGAACACTTGCAACAGGATTGATCCTTCGACATGAGTCAAATTTATTACTTCGAAGGCATCGGGCTGGATATCGGCTATCATCTCATTCACTTGGCAACTCGCAATTGGAACGCTATGCATACTTTGACATGTGGTCACTATGCTTTAGGTCTGGTGCAGCACCCAATCCGCGGGCATCAGATAAATTGTGCTTCGTCTGCGGAAGTGTGTGTGATGAAGAATTTGTGTGTCCTGTTGAGCGTTTCAACCCTAATCGGACGGTCTCACTGCCAACATGAGGGCTGATTTGTGCATACTCTATGCCTCGAAGATGTTCCTTTTTGTGGCTCTTTGGCATATTCGGAGGTCCCTTAATGGCTTACTAATTGGGTTGTCTTTTTCAACAGATGCTGGCCAAACTTGTGCACTGTTTCCCTTCTAATCCATATATTCTACACATAAGACTTGCTTGAAGACAAGCCCTGACAATATTAACAGAACAGGGGCAGCACATGAACGAAGTCTCGACAAACATAAACCTGGAATAACTTTAGGGTAAATTTATTTATTGTTGAGCTTACTTCCATTTCGAGTGAAAGTGTTGGGTGAAGAGATTTGAAGGTCGGTTCCACCAG